GCGCCAGTCTGATTCATCACAGGTTCTTACCAAACGGAGTGAGCATTACTGCGGATGTGTAATGTGAAGAACTGAACACAATGATGGAGAAGCTGACACATCTCCAACCAGCACTGGTCAATCGCTCATCTCCATTGCTCCTGCATTACAACGCGCGACCTAAAGCTGCACAACAGATGGTCTCCAAGTTACAAGAACTGGGGTTGGAAGCTCTCCAATATCCACCCTACTCACCAGACTACTTCTTTTCCAGAATTTGAATAACTTCTTCGCGGGAAAAAAATTCATTACCCGAGAGGCAGTACAAAATGCATTTAAAGAATTTGTTGCCACCCGTCCAGCTGATTTGTTTAAGAAGTATTTTGTGGCAGTTTATTGATGCCCAATAAACTGCCACTGCGTTGGCAACGATGCATTGATTACATGGGTGATTACTTCGATAAATACAAATAAAAAATACATGAAAAAAATCGTTTAAATTTTTTCATACAAAACGGCAATTTCAGTAAATAACCCATTAATTTATCTGATTTTGCTGAATAAATAATAATATAATCGTTGTTCTTATGCAGACTGTTATTATTAATCTAAATAAATACTTTGATATTGTGTTGTGTTTATTCATCCGATGTAAGCACCTGAGATTTTCGGTTGTTGCGATATATCCAGGTTGTTTTATCAGCCATTAATCGTCTTAGATGTAAATAAACATAAACATTTAACGATACAATTTCAATGTTATATGTCACATAAGTAAATTAGCCTGTTACTCATTTTAGTCTAAATTGGTAGTTGAGATAAATAGCTTGCTTCTATTTATTTTGGGTTTCGTTACTTCATACTTTTTGGCTTACTCTGTAAATATAGTGCATCGTCGCTTAATTTTTTTCCCTTGTAGCCAATTGTAGTTATGAAGTCACTTAAATCATTTTTCCTGACTCTAAAAAAGGGCAGATTGTATTAAGCGACATTTATCTTTGTAATTAAAGGTCCGATTTATTTGGAATTAGCATCAGCAACTAGATATTTTTATTTAAATTTCAATGCAATTTACCCCGTTCAAATATCTGCAGAAGCGTTTTTGTTATGAATTTTTTTTCGAAATTTCAAACTTTAAAAGGCTCTCCTGTAAAGTTGCAAAAATGTCGCTTAAACCAAATAGCCCGTTACCCCTCGATATAGACAAACGGAGGTAACATAAATATTGGTATGTACTGCCAATAATAAACAAACAAATTTATAAATACATACAAATGGAGGTACATATAGATGTACTTCTATATTTATTATTAGACTTATAAATATCCTACCTACACTCCCCTAATACAATTCTTCTAATGAGTATTACTAACGAAAATATAACTGAACGAAATTCAGATCCTACCTAACAATGCCCGAATAGTGTCAA